CCAAAAAAAAAAAAAAAAAGTTAGATATCTATAGATATCTACACAGCTAGAAATCTGGTCAGTCACTGTAGATAAAGGAGGAAATATATTCAGCTTTGTTATATCACAAAAGACATGCTGGAGGTTTTAAATGGATTCTTTAATTCTTTAATTTGGTTATTATAATACCCATTATACAGAGGACTTAACTGATTAAGAGCTGATTAGCTCTTAATTAGTTGTATTCCATACAACTAATAAATGGTAGAATTTATAAGCAATCCCAGTCTTGTTAATTATCAATACAATTTTCACTTATTTTTTTTTTTAATCTTTGAGACAGGGTCTCCCATAGCCCAGGATGACATTGCTCTTTCAATATAACTAAAAATGATCTTAACCTTTTGATGCTTCTGTCTCCATCGCTTTAGTTCTGGAATTAGGCATATGACACCACACCTGTTTTATATAATGCTAGGGGCTGTTAGCACAGTTTCATGCATACTAGCCAAGCATTCTATCAACTAAGAAACATGTCCGATCTCCAAAACTATATTTTTGCCATACAAATAATAATATCAAGGAACATGAGGAATGGTGGCTTTGGTGGATTGAAAGAAAATGTCCCACATTGGAGGTGTGGCTTTGTTTGAATAGGTGAAGGTGGACGTTGAGGTCTCCTGTGCTCAAGATATGAAACAGTTCACTTCCTGCTGCCTGTGGATCAAGTTGTAGAACTTTCAGCTCCACGTCTCCCTGCATGACACCATGGCCTACTGTGATGAGAATGAACTGAACCTCTGAAACTATAAGCCCAATTAAATGTTTTCTTTGTAAGAGCTGCCATGATTATGTTGTCTCTACACAGCAATAGGAACCCTAACTAAGACTGGCTTGTACCTATAATCTCATCACTCAGAAGCATGGTGCCAGAGGTTAGGATGTACTGCATGATGTACAGTGAAGACTTGCTCAAACCTAGCTCTCTAGAACAAGAACTCAGATTTTTTTCCTTAACTCACTGAAGCAAATCTATAATTAATATGTGCTATTGGGCAAGTAGCAGGCCCTAAGAATCTCAAAGTTATTTTTAAAAACAACTTTGTTTGGTTTTTCGGGACAGGGTTCACTGTGTAGCTCTGGCTGTCCTGGAACTTAATTTGTAGACAAGGCTAGTGTTGAACTCACAGAGATCTGCTTGCCTCTGCCTCTTGAGTGCTGGTATTAAAGGTGTCTACCACCACCACTGCCTTACAAAAAATGTGTGTGTGTGTATGTATGTGTGATGTGATGTGTACCACAAGTGTGTAGGTGCCCACATAGGCTAAAAGAAAGCATTATACCCTCTGGAACTTTAGTTGATGGCAGATGTGAGCTGGGAAATATGGTTACTAGGAACCAAATAGAGGCTTTCATTAAGAGCACCAACAAGTACTCTTAACCACAGAGCCATCTCTGCAGCTTACCCACCTCCAACATCCCTATAGTTTCTGAGACAGGGTCTCACTATAAAGCCTGTGTGGGCACCTACACACTTGTGGTACACATCACATCACACACACACACACAAACACGTAATGTGGTTGCTGGGAATTGAACTCTGGACCTCTGGAAGAGCAGATAGTGAGTGCTCTTAACCTCTGAGCCATCTCTCCAGCCTTTCTACACAGAATCTTTATGCTGAATTTCTTCCAAAAATTGCCTCAGTAACCCCTCCCTGTATAGCTTCCTTTTACAAAGTGACTTTCCCATTGACTTGCTTTGACAATAGAATGTAGCAGAAATGACAATGCAAATTTGAAGTTTAGTATCCATATTCTCTTGGAAGCCAGATATCATGGAAAGGTATTCTAATGATCTTTTTTCCCATTTATTTACTTGTATGTGTGTGTTGTTTATATCTGTGTGTGTGTGTTTGTGTGAGAGAGAGTGCACCTGCTGTGTATGTGTGTGGGCATGTGTGCCACTGTGTGCATATAGAGGTCAGAGGATACTTGCAGGAGTCAGTTCTCCCTTTCTACTGCTTGGGTCACCGGGATCAAACTCAGGTCATCAGGCTTTATGGCAAGTATCCACACTCACTGAGCCATTTTGCTGTCCAGGAATCTAAACTATCTTGCTACAGACATGTCACATCCAGTAGTTACAACCAACCTCTCGACATCCAAACCATTCAGTCAAACTGCATGTATATAATCTACCCAAAGTAAAAACATTAGAAGAACCACCTAATAGCTGGGCAGTGATGGCACACTCCTTTAATCCTAGCACTTGGGAGACAGAGGCAGGCAGATTGTTGTGAGTTCTAGAACAGCCTGGTCTACAGAGCTAGTTACAGGATAGACTCCAAAGCAATAAGCTACACAGAAAAACCCTGTCTTGAAAAACAAAACAAAACAAAACAAAAAGAACCACAGAACTAAACACATGCCAAACTGCTGACTCACAGAATTGTAAGTAAATAAATGACTACTATTTTAATCCGGTACATTTTCCAGTTGGCTATTATCCCCCAGAGCTCCACATCCCCCCAGCAAATCTAATAGAGTCAGCATGAATGGATTATTTTCCTATTTATTCAATATTAAATAAGTAGCATGTGCAAGGCATCAAGCTAACTGCAGTAAGTGAGATACAATGTATAAAGTAGGACCAGTCTTCAGTAAGTTAACAATGTATATCAATAGGTAAATTCTTAAGAAGTAATTATCTCACAGGACAAGAGCCATAGTATATAACTACTACATTGTCCAAGAATGTAAAAAAACATTTTAGCTTGAGGTGCTAAGGGGGGGATTTTTTTTTTTTTTTTTTGAGACAGGGTTTCTCTGTTCTCCTAAAACTCACTCTATATACCAGGCTGGTCTCAAACTCAGAGATCCACCTGCCTCTGCCTCCTGAGTGCTAGGACCAAAGGTGTGTGCCACCACCACTTCCTTGGGAAGAATTTTTCAAGAAGGTAATGTCAGAAAAAAACCTAGAAAAACTTTGGTAGTGAAGTGGAAGGAGAGGACATTCTAAGTAAAAGAAAATGACCTAGAACCACCAGGCACAAAAATTGTTTTTACCAAAAGACAGGACAAGCATAGAAGGGATTAATACACCAGTCAGGATAATAGCTTCCTCTACAGTTAGAGAAAAGACAGTTTGCTATCTTCCTCAGATTGTACATATAGGTTGTGTACATCTTATTTTTGTTTACTTGACGTTTCACATACACACACACACACAATTTCACACAACCACTACTGTGTGTTTCATAAGAGAAGTGGGGTTTACTGGAGAAAAGGGATAGGAAGGAATACAAATTTGAAAGACAAAGCATTTCAGAATGAGAAAATAGAATCAGGACCTAGGCAGAAAAGAAAGCAGCAGGTGGGAAACCATGGCCATCATTTTTGTAGCAACCTAGGATATCAACATCTCAGCATAATGTGGGGATTCTTGGTTGCTCTCATAGGAGATCTGTATGCCTCTCACTGTAAACAATAGGAACTTTGTAGTAGTAGTCACTGGTTTAGGCAACAAGAAACAATTGTGGCTAACTGAAGTAAAGGGGGAAGGTTTGTTTTTATTTGTTTGTTTTTAAAAGGGGCATGAGGAAATGGGAGGGGGAGAAAGTGAAAAGACTGGGTTTACTGGATAGGCTACATAGTCTAGTGACCAGTCTAGGACCCCAAAAGATCTGAGGAAGTCAATGGGATCCACCAGCTCTTAGAGCTTTCGATTTCAACCACCCTCTGTTTTAGGTGCCAGTTCCCAAGAGTCTGATCAGGCTACTTTTTGTTTCCTTATGTCATGTGTGATCTGGGATCTGTGCTTGCTGCTCATATTAATTTTTTTTCCTTTTTTTATTTAAATTTGAAACAAGGTTGTCTTACATGTCAATCCCAGTTCCCTCACCTTCCCATCCTCCCTATCACCCCCACCACACCCCAGCCCATTCCCTTCCTGCTCCCCAGGGAAGGTGAGGCCTTCCATAGGGAGTCTTCAAAGTCTGTAATATCACTTGGGGCAGGGCCTAGGCCCTCCCCCAGCTTGCTGCTCATTATAATATGGGAAACACAGATTAGATGACAGGTAATCTACCAAAAGAATAAAGGATAATGGAGACATACACACTCATACATGTGCACCCGCAGAGAGTAGGGATTCCTTAGTAAATTTCAGGATGGTAACTGCAAAACCCAAGAATGATCTCATTCATATAATTAATCCTGAGATTACACACCTGGACATGTAATAGATTAGTTAAACATAGGATTCGTGGTCTTCGAGGTAGTAATGTTTTTCGTTTAGGATGTCGAAGTTTGTCCCGCAAATACTTCTTTCTCAGTTAATAATACCCTAATTACTTGCTGCACACTGCCTCTGATGTAAAATTCAGGTTGGCCATCCTTTGCAAAAGGCTTAAAGCTCAACTAGCAGAAAATAAATATATTAGAAAATAGCTGGGGGACGTTGATGTCACACGCCTTTAATCCCAGCACTCGGGAGGCAGGCGGATCTCTGAGTTCGAGGCCAGCCTAGTCTATAGAGCAAGTTCCAGGACAGGCTCCAAAGCAATACAAAGAAACATTGTCTCGAAAAAACAAAGCAAAAACAAACAAAGAAAATAGCTGGTAGTAATGATGCACACCAGCTTTGGAGGCAGAGGATCAGGTGTTCGAGGCCTTCCTCAGCTACAGAACGAGTTGGAGGCCAGCATCGACTAGATGAGACCCTTTCTCAAACAAAGGCAAACAACGGCACTGCGAGATAGGAGATCTGAGGACTAGTCAAGCCGCAACCCCCCATTCGTAAATTGACGACCAAAGCTCTCTATTCTCAGTCCTCGGAAGCTGGAAAAAAAATCTGCTGAGCAACGAACCCCTGGGACCTAAGCGCGTGGAGAACTGTAGTTACCAGAGAAAGGGGCAGAGATGGGATGGCGCACGCACATGCGCACAAGCTCCCAGGTCAACAAAGACGGCGGAGCGCGCGCGCGCACCGGAGCCTGACCCCGAGGACGTGCGCGTGCACGGCGGCCGCGGAGAGGTGCGGGCCGGACAGAGGACAGAGGAAAAGGAGGCGGGCAGGAGCCGCCGGCCGCGGGAGGAGGTGGAGAAGGGGTTGTGCTCCTGGCCAGCGGAGGACAGAGGGGCGGGGCCGGCGAGCGGCGCGTGCAGGTGCGAGCTCCCGGGCTCCGCGGGCGCGCGAGCGGCTCCGTGGCCCCCGGCGCCGCAGTGGCCGCCGCCGCCGCTTGGTCGCCGTCGGTCTGGGGGAGGCGGGTTATGGCGGCGGCGGCAGTGGGAGCTGTGAATGAGTTCTCCGGCCGGACGACGGAAGAAGAAAGGCTCCGGCGGCGCGAGCCCGGCGCCCGCCAGGCCTCCGCCCCCCGCCGCGGTCCCCGCCCCTGTCTCCGGCCCGGCCCCTGCGCCCGGCTCGCCGCCTAAGCGGAACCTGTCTCACTTCTCGTACCCGCTGGTCGTCGGCTTCGCCCTGCTGCGCCTGCTCGCCTGCCACCTGGGGCTCCTCTTCGTGTGGCTCTGCCAGCGCTTCTCCCGCGCCCTCATGGCCGCCAAGAGGAGCTCCGGGACCGCGCCGGCGCCTGCCTCGCCCTCACCCCCAGCTCCCGGGCCGGGTGGCGAGGCCGAGAGCGTCCGCGTCTTCCACAAACAGGCCTTCGAGTACATCTCTATTGCCCTGCGCATTGACGAGGAAGAGAAAGGTACTGGGGGCTGGAGGGAGGCTGTGGCGGCCTGGCGGTCCGCGGGGACGGGGCGCCACCTGCGCCCCTTTCCTGAGTTGATCTACCTCAGGAGTCCGAGTCCCCACTGGCAGACCCTGCCCTGTGACGCCTAGTTAGTTGGACCTCTCCCCTTTCGGGGCGCTCTAGCTCTCGACTTTGTTTCAGCACCCCCACCGTTGTGCATTATCCAAGTCCCCGAGAGACACGCAGACGTGTTGATGACAGTGACAGTTGGTCTAGAGTGACCACACGGGGTTCTTTCTAACACTGTAAACAGTGTGGCATTCTCTGATCTTGGCTTCCAAAAGGTTTTGGTATCGAATAAGCTGTGTATAAACTTAGTAAAAAGAGTTCTGTAGTGTCTGGGGAGGAAAAAAAAAAAAGGACAAGTGTTGACTTGGATTTGAAAGGGATAGTTGCTTGTAATTGGTGCCGAATTTGCGTTATTCTGGTTTCATGAATTATTTTTATCAACAAAGTGAGTCTTGAATATTTTTTCTGTGAAGTTGTATTTCAGCCCCTAGTTGCTTTGTTTTGTTTTGTTTTCCCCAAATCTGCATTTCAAGGCAATCTCTTAAGTTTCTAAATTGAAATGTAGTAAACATGCATATCATTGTACCATGGAACCTAAAACAAAGGCTAGTGCTTCTTATTGAAGGAAGGGGTACTGCATACTTAGACTTCCTTCAAGCAACATCTTTTAGTCTTTTCTGTGTGCAAGGCATTGTGTGATTCGCTTTGCCTGTGTCCCTTGGTCCCCACAATAATTCTGGGTGCTGTCAGTACAGGTGTTTTACAGATGAAATTACTACTTACAAGATTGAAGCAGGTGGTGGCAAATCTAGGCTAATAGCTAATTTTAAACGTCTTTGGAAGACGTTAAGTGGAGTTAGAAAGTCTTATATTTATGTCTCTCCTTTTATTGTCAGTATCCTCCAAATAAGCCCAGATTCCCACCTTGGCTCAGTTAGGTATGCCCATCAACATTGTCCACTGTGGAAAACGAACAGTCTGTAGTTGTTTGCGGTGTTGTTCCCACTCTCCACACCAAAGACCGACTGTTCTAGTGTTTCAGCCTTGGAGAAATATTTCCTTTGCTGCAGGGCCCAAGAATAAAAAGGGGATATAGTGAAAGAGGCAGGTGTCGTGATTTGGGAGTCCAGAGACAGTGGAGATTTAGTTCAAGACAGTAGTAGACACAGTGAAGGGTATTTTGTGTTTGTGAGATCGACCTTTTTTTGTTCATTGCTCAGTTCTTACTGCCTTTTAGGAAGATCCAGCACTCTTCCTTCTGAATGTGATGTTGTATGGCAGTATTTTATAGCTGTAGGGTTCCCTGGTTTTTTGTTTGTTTGGTTTTTTTGTTTTTGTTTTTCAATACAGTGTTTTGCTGTCTAACAGTCCTGGCTAACCTGAGACTCAACTTGTAGACCAGAATGGCCTTGAAATTACTGAGATCTGCCTGCCTCTGCCTCTCAAGTAGTAGGATTAAAGGTGTGCACCACCACCCAGCAGTTGGCTGGTTTTCACAATAGTGGAACTATAAGTGAGAATAGACTTTTAGGGGCTTGAGGATGTAGTTCAGTGATAAAAGGGCTTGTTTGTGCCTAGAGTGCTTCTCAGTGCTTCAGAAACAAAGCCAACAAACAAAAATTAAAAACAAATTAGTTTCATTCATTTTCCTTTAAAAAGAAAAAGCTGGATGTAATCTCCCCACTTGGGAAAATGAAGACTGTGGTGAGTTCAAGGCCAGGTAGACTACATAGCTCAACCTTGTTGAGAAACAAAGCAAAACAAGAAAAATAAATAAATAAACTTATTATTTTGATAAATAAAAATAAATGATCAGTCCTTGGCTCGGAAAAAAAAAAAAAGAAAACTGAATCTGAGCCTGGTCAACGGAGCTAATTCCAGGACAGCCAAAACTGTCTCAGTGAAACCCTGCCTCGAAAAACCAATACAGAAATAAGTAAAATAAATATAAAATAAATAAACAGAATCTGTATTTTCTCTCTTATTCCAGTTTTTCCTCTTGGCATATTTGTAGACTAACTTTATTTATTTATTTATTTATTTATTTATTTATTTATTTATTTTGGTTTTCAAGACAGGGTTTCTCTGTGGCTTTGGAGGTTGGCTTGGAACTAGCTCTTATAGACCAGGCTAGTCTTGAACTCACAGAGATCCACCTGCCTCTGCCTCCCGAGTGCTGGGATTAAAGGCTTGTGCCACCAACTAACTTTAATTTTATAATTGAAAAAAGAGTTCACATTTGAAATCTGTTAGCCTTTTAGCTTGACAACTCAGAACTTCAAGAGAATTTCTCTTTTTACTGCATAAAATTATATGAACAGATAGGCTGGATTGAGTATGCAGGCTCTGTGACTCTTGTCCACTGCCTCAAGGGTGGCAGTGTGTTACATTAGCACCCATTAGAAACCTAACACACCACATGTGTACAGTGCCCAAGTGTCTGAAGAGCTGTGGCGTCCCCTGGGACTACAGTCAAGAGACAGGTGTGAGCCACCGTGTGAGTCCAGTCAGGTCCCCCCAAAAGAGCAACCTGTACTGAGCCATGCATCTCTCCAGCTCTGAATTTTTGTAGGTATTTTGATGGTTGAACATCTCTGAGAGATTGAATTGATATAATCTGTGATGTCCATTTATGTGTATGAAGAAACAAAGAGTGGGCTCAAAGTAGCAGAAGTAGGAACAGAGTTTGGTGACCAAAATTAATATAAAATCACTGTTTGATTTTACATATTTTTGAGGATTATACTATAATTACATTTCTCTCTTCCCTCCAAAATCCCCCCCCCCATACATCCTTCCTTGCTCTCTATCAAACTTATGACCTCTTTTTTCATTCATTGTGACTTGCATGTATGAGTTTATACTGGACAGTGTTTCTCTTTTAAAGAGTCAGTCAGAGTACTTGGGGAAAAGAAGTTGTGATAGTGGTTCTTTGGATTAACTAGAACATGACCTAACATGTTTTGTGTGACATCTATAAGTGTGTGAGCTCCTAAATGATACTAAGGTGAAGGTTCAGAAGGTGTGGTTTGGTTTCTCAGGTTGATAGCATCTAACAGTAAAGGCCACAGTGTGCTGTGTGAAAGAAAGTGAACCAGTTTTTCAGGATGTTGTAGGGCTGAAGAATCTGGCATCAAGAACAGAAAGTGTCTAAATAAAACAGCCCTCATCAGTTACATTTTTCTCACAATTTTACTAATTTTCCTTTTATGTGTGTCTATGCCTGTGTTTCTATGTGTGTACATGAATGCGCATGTGCCATAATGTACATACATGTGCAGGTCAGAGAATGACCTGTGCTGAATGGTTTTGTCCTGTCAGGTGGGATCCCAAAATCAACCTCAGATTGTCAGGTTAGCAGGCTCAGCCCTCAAGTCATATATATATTTGGGCTTATGGTTCTAGAGCGCTGAGTCCATCACTGTCATGGCAGGGAGGTGTGGCAGCAGGCAGGCATGTGGCTGGAGCAGCAAGCTGAGAGCTCACATCTTGAACCCTAAGCAAGCAAAGGAAACTTTAAACTCTGAAAGCCTGCCCCCAGTGGCACCCCTCCTCCACATGGCCTCATCCCTTAAACCTCACAGACAGCATCAAACAGGACCAGGTTCAAATACCTGAGTGTACAGGAATATTCTCATGCAGACCACCTCACCATGTAACTTTTACATTTTGTTTGTTTGTGATACATGGCCCTGGCTGTCTTCAAACTCAGAGAACCACCTGCCTCTTCCTCCTGAGTGCTGAGATTAAATGTGTGCACCTCTACTTCTGGCAGTGATTTTTCTAGTTTTGTATGATCCGGCATTGTACATTAATTTAAAACATGCAAAATCCTGTTCACATCTGTTTTCATAAGATGAGGGTAGAGAGTAGAAATCGGAAGTGATTGCTTTCAGTCCTGAAAAGTGTACATCTACTTCTTAGAAAGAATTGATTTCAGACTTCATTTCCTTTTGCTGGGTGACTCCACATAAGGGCTGTGTAGTTCACACCTCTTCCCAACACCCAGAAAGCTGAGGCAGGACAAGTTTAAAGAGAGTTTAAGGCTAGCAGGAGCAGGAATGAGTTATAGAAGACCCTGTTACAAACAACTGAAAGAAAAAAAGATTGGCTTTTCAAGACAGGGCTTCTCTGTGTAGCTTTGGAGACTGTCTGGGAACTAGTTCTGTAGACCTGGCTGACCATGAACTCAGGCATCCTCTTACCTCTGCCTCCCAAGTGCTGGGACTAAAGGCCTGTGCCACTAACTCTCTGCTAAAAAAGATTGTTTTTGAAATCACTCTTCATTAGAGGTAAAACACAAGGGCCACCACAACTGGAAGGCCATTGTGGTCTATGTAGGGAGTTGAAGGTCACACAGGGCTGCCTGATGGAACCCTGCTGCAAAGAACCCCCAGGCCTCCTGACTCAAATGAGGAAAGGATAGTACAAGGGCCAGGCCTTTTGCAAAAGCATTGCCTTTCTTCTTACTGACTGCTCAATACTTGGTGGTGTTTGCATAAAGAGATCTACAGACAAGTCACTGTTGGAGACTATGCCTTGTTTGGTTTCTATCTTGTTTTAAAACAATTTTTTAAAATTATTTTATGTGTGTGGATGTTTTGCCTGCATGTATGTGTGTGCACCAGTGTGTGCCTGATACCCACAGAGGTCAGAACAGAGTGTTGAGTTCCTCGGAACTGGAGTACAGGTTGTAAGTCACCATGTGGGTGCTGGGAATTAAACCAGGGTTCTGTAGAAGATCATCAGGTGCTCTTAACTGCTGAGCCATCTCGCTAGCCCCCTTTTTAATGCTTTTTTAAAAGTCACAATTTATGTGACCAATGTGGATCTTGTATAGTTTTGCTATCCTTATTAAATATGTAGCTTAAGGATACTGCTAGGTCATGTAGCCAATAGGCTTAATAATATTGACGTGAACTGCTGTCTTTACCCAGTTAATGGTA